ATCATTAACAGTAATGATGATCGTCATACACATTGAATATTTATGGGAAAACAAGCCGGTCCATTTTTGAGTATTACTATTCCAAAAATAAACGCTATAAATTTATATTCGAAACTTAAGGTTAACGGTTTCAGGATTCTACTTCAACACTACTGTAGATAAGTAGCAGACCACCAGTTTCCCACGGGAACAAATAGACTGGTAGCGATGACATTTTTATTATTGCCATTTACTGCCATTGCAGGTTATTCAGAAAATATAACCATCTTTGGGCTATAATACGTCAAATATTACTGGCTTTAAAGTGATCAATTTTAAAGTTTTATTGGACAGCGATGAATTGAAAACAAAAACATCATGGCAATTACGGTAAAATAAACAATCAATGAAAATAATTAATGTTATTTGTACAAGCATTAATACAAATAAAATCAAAAGTGTAACTTAATGGAAGGTGTGCTACTAGTTTTTTCAGGTCAATTATAAACATTTTTAATTACATTCTATTGTTTTGGAAAGCAATACTATTATAAAAAATTATTTAGTTTATTCATATAGATAGGCTACTGAAAAAATTCGATAGTTTTATTTGGTAAAGTATACAAGGTCGGCTGGATTAATTATTTTTTTAACTCTATTAAATAAAAGTAACTGTTATTGACTATAAAATCGAAATTACCTTGCCTATATTTTAGGCATATATGATTTTATTATATTTACTCCAGTCAATAATGATTCTTTATGATTGAGAGCTCAATAACAATTTTAGATCAGAGGCTTATAAAATGTCGAGTAATAAATAACAAATTGTTTGAATATTATACTACAACGGCCTAAATAAGTGTATTTTATGAACATTAGTATTATACTAAGATGGTTATGTTATAGTAGCTATTAATAATTCTATCTACTACTAGGAACGAACATTCTGATACTTTTTTTATTAGGTTGTTCACTCGTTTTGTAGTTATTTTTCAGTGTGCTCATGAGCGGGAGTATATGCCGCAACAAGGTGCGCGTAAGAGACTATATTATTAAAATATATACTTAACATAATGTAGTGGTTCGGATCGTTCAATTCGGTACTTTACCCACCCCCCGGGTGGCATGCCGGTAGGTTACAAATTGGACGATGACATTCCAGGATTTATAAAGGGCAAACTGTGGGAAATCGTTAAATGCTTAACAATCGGCAGATGCAAATATTCAGTTGTGTCGATATCATAAATAATTAACTTGAACGGATATCATGTGTACTATTGCTAAATAAAGCGAACTAATGAAATCATCTAACTGATATACTTATAAACAGAGCCAGACTTAATGCATTTAAAAAATTGTTTAAACTATATATGAGACGCCCAACTCAGTGGAAAATTAAAGTATATCCAGTACGACGGGAAAATCTTTTGATCTAGAGAAAGTGATCTCCTTACGTCCCTCAAAACTAGATTTTTAATTAATGAATATCTATTTATCATTTATGTACTCGGGATGACTAAAATGAATTTCATAAATTCTGAAATTCCTGAGCTCTGCTTATAAACGAGGTAGTTGAAGAAATTATCGATGAATTGGTTAAAACACATTATGTACTAATTATTGAATATAACCATACTGTTAAATATACTGGCAAGTTTTCGTGATGAAAAATTAGCAAAAAAATATAAAAATAGTACTCCTTTCAGTATATTCAAATTGAAATTTCAGAAAATAATATTATTATTGAAAGTCAATAGATGATGCGCGATGGATAAGATCCTTTTGGGAATACTGTATATGTTGGGGATGGCATTTCTAGGGTCGATTTTTTTTTTTCTGGTATCTATTCTACACATAATGTTATGCGCTCACGACACAAATGTTTAAACTGAAAAATAATAATGCGAGATGACCGGCGTAAATTCTATATCCCTTTATGTAAAATATACGACCTACTGCGATAGCTCTGTACAACCACAGAGATGTAGATCGCCATGCGGGAAATTGATTTTTTTAATGACAGCAGTACATTACATCACGACGCATTTTGCTACTGTGTAACGATTATTTCAAATTAAATTGATTTTAGATCACAATAGACACTTAAACACATTAAAATCATAATAAAAAAGATATTATACTATGTAATAATCATCACGACTATGTTTGTCGGTTCTATTGCACGTGGGTTTTATTCATTTTATGCATTTAAGAAGAGCTCATCAGAAATATGTAATAATGTGTGGGAGTTATTTAAGACCGCTGAAAAAAATACCACGAGTACTTGAATTTTTCTAGTAAAATTTACATTCTGCAGATTGCACTTGTTCCTTTTTACCGTCTTGAAAATACTTATTTTTACCAATCACGTACAGTACAGGTAATGAGCCGACGATCGATCCGTTTAGTTACAATAGACTGGTCATACTTGAGAATGACTTAAAATGAGCACTGTAAAGGGTCTATGTGTGTAAACATTTACAGATAGTTGAGCTTTTTGTAAACCGTCCGAATGCAAATGACGGTAAAACTAAAAAGGGAAATGTCCATTGAGCGTACGAAAAATTTTCTACAAAATCGGATTTGAAAAAAAATTGTTCCAGACGTGCACAACCATAAAAACGTTGTTTTCCAACGAAAGAGAACGAAACGTCCTTAGAAAATGTCTAATGAAGTAAAACCGGAAGTTCTGAAACATATATGAATAGGAATGCAGAGCAGTAAATTCTAGTTTTATTTATAATATCTGTTGTGACTGATAAACACAATGTCTAAAGGCAGCAACACGCGTGCCTAACTGAATAAAACAACTCTGCTAGACAGAGAAGAGTATTTTTATGTCGATTACGTTATCGGAATTCTAACTGTGTGAATTCATTTAGTACGTTTACCTGCATATTTATAAAACAGACAGATAAAAAAGCTCGACAATAATATGAAAAATGTGGTGTATAATTAATAACTGTTGAAGCATAAATGTTAATTATTACTTTAGAACAAATAAATTATTGGATCAACAAAATCAAATCAAATACGCCATCAAACTATCTAGTAATTACAACAATCGATTAACAAAAGAAATGTGTTAAAATCTGAAAAGTCTGTTTAAATAGATTTCATGTGTTAATTAAGTTTGCGTAATGCGCAGTGAAAAATATTGTTATTTGATCGGCTTTACTGTTATTATCGTCATATCATAATATTTAGAATATCACAGAAAACGTGAACATTATTTTACTAAGCACACAACGATAAGCGATTGTGACAAAAAGATAAAATGAAATAGGAGAAAAACAGAAGCTCTAAACTTCGAGTTAACGGCCTCGTTCTTACAATTAATTAAAGCTATTACTTTTATAGCGACTTTGGATAAAAATGTTAATGGCCGTAAATCCGATACGCTTTTGGATCATCTGCGCTTAAGGCAAAGTAAAATAATTTAGATAGACTCTTCAAAACTCCCCTTTTTAGAAGGTATCGTAATTGGCCATCCTCGTCGTTTATAGTCCGCTAACATTAGTGCGCTCCCCTCGATTATAAGCTGTTTGTGTCATATGTCCACTTTAATAAAAAAAAAATCAAATATTTTTATCGCTAAAAGCTCGTAAAAACGACATCGCCACCATTCTGTCGTAGATGTTCAATCTATTAGTATTGCCATGACATGTAGCGTTGGGCTAAATCCAACGAAAACACTTCAATTGCCGAAATCGTATTTACCATTCGTATCAACACAACTGTACAACTTGTTCTCCGAGAAATAATTGAAAAATCAAAATCACAATTTTATTCTTGGAATACACAGATCTTGGAAACATATAATTGAATATCGACACAAAAATTAACTAACGCGATAGTATTTCATAGAAAAGAGAAGTCGATGCGAGCAAGTGTACATATTTAAAATAACATCAATTAAGTACACGTCTGAGCACAATAAAATATTGTACTTCTTTAGAAACGCCGTCACACAATGATGATATTAATTTACTCTAATGCGTTCAAAGTTACTGGAAAAGGATATTTTCGCTTTATTCGGGCGCATTTGGGTAGATGTGATTGTTTGCCTTGTTTTTGTACAGCAAATCCCTTTCCGAACAATGATACCTAGAAAGTATCATCGATATGTGCGAGTGTATTATGTTCAACGTTCGATTTCGGAATTAAATTTTAGAGGCAAACATCACGATTCGGAGAAGATACCGAGTCGAAAATAAACGCTTTAATAATGCAAAGTTGAATAGGTAAAATGTAAGACCATGTGGGCTACCGAATGTTATGGTTTACTATTTTCCTAGGCAATAAATCACTGGTCGGTTACAGTTTTTCGGCAGGAAAAAAAACCGACTACCTATCCGCAATGGATTTTCGGAGTTGGTTATGATTAAACCAAACAGGGTAGCCGTGACGAAATCTCAGCTCAATACATCCCTCGCGGATTCGATGCCATTAAATGGAATTTGTTTTACAGAAAACTGGGTATATTTTTCTATTGAAATAGTTCCTATTGATAGAACTCACCACGACGACGTTTAACGGTATTCACGTGACAAGACTGGGTCAAGTGTTCGTCGGGAGGGAGGTAAAAAAAAAAATGAACACTCGCATATACAAAAAAAACAGGGGGTGTAATCGACAACATAATGCTACTCGATAGAATAGGGTGTCTATTTTTGTATAAAATAATAACTTCTCTGGAAATATGGTAATAAATTCAGCTGGAGTAAAATATTTTGACGTTGGAGATGGAAAATCGATCAACTCTGGTTATTAATGAAGGAGCATCCCATTCGCCCACGTCAAAGAAAAGTTCATATTTTCATGTAATTAGCACGAAAATAATTTTCTCAACGATACATCAATAAAATCTAAAATACGAAAGTAACGAGTCGAGATTTGTCAAGATCAATCAAATAGCGTAATAGAAATAAAAATGTATTCAAGTGGTCAAAATTAATTATTGAATTATCGTTAATAGAATAAATCAGGGTTACGTTATATAACCCAAAAAGTCTTACCGACGAGCAGAGTCAACTGCAACGCCAACAAAATCGATCCCATTTCTTTACTTTTTTCCTCGAATCTTCTTTGCTTTAGACTAGTAATTTTGCGGGGCTTCACGAAAAACAACCAAAATATTCTGGCGGCTAATTTGTTATTTTGTACGAAATTACTACGCCGGTTTACACTGCGGCCTATCGTGGCGCCCGGTCGAACCGAAAGCGACCAACAGTGTCATATCGTTATTAAAAAAAAAACCTGACTAACGAAAATCGATATTTCTCTTCAATCAACACTTATCGGCGTCGTCACACGTGAACCCGCAAACACAATCGACACAATAAATTATTTTACCGAGCTAGTAAAAAGATAGCTGTTGTCCCGATCAAGACGAACGCGGTACTCAACGGCACCGGGGCGCAATACACACTGCCGCGCGCGTTGCAGAGCGGTCGGCGGCCGTTGGTGTGCGTGCGTGCGTGTAGTGTATAGAGTTGGACCCGCCGCCTCAGCTCCCTTCGAAATCAAGTATTGACCCAAGAGAGTGCGTATAAATGTATATACACACGAGCGTACACATAGCTATGCTGCCGGCGCTATTATTTTTTGTTCGCTTTTCTTCTCTAGTATCTCCGTTCTTCGACTTGTTGTACACGTATATATAAATATATTTTCATCTCGATACTCGTCACTTTCAAACGCACGCGGGTTACCTTTGATCTTCGGCTAATGTTACACATAAGCGTTTGGGGGTAACGCGCACTTACCTGAGAGTCGAGTAAACGCCGTTCTGATTAGGCACACACGCGGACGGCACGTTTTGTCTGGGGACAGAACAATTCGCCAACCAAATCGAACACGTTGGTCACTTGTAACGCCTTTCTTTGGAAGTGTTCTGTGCAAACTTCACTGTGACCGCCATTGTTGTCATCAATGGCATAACGAGTATATCGTCGTTTTTTAACAGCTACAGACTAACGGGTACACGATTCCGAACAAAACGAAACAATGCGCTTATTCGACAACTGAAAAGTCGACGGTCAATTGCATTCCGTGTAATATTCTTTACAAGGATAATTTAAAGAGCAATTAATCGCTCTGTTAGGTTCGTCGAGAAACGACAGCGAGAATATAATAAATCTGCATTTTCCTTATATTACACGTTTCAAACTTTCCGATACAAATATTGTCAAACGATAACGACATGCGACACATAGCAAATATGTACATAATAAACATCGACGGTGCATTATCAACACATAGCGTTTCTTTGCCGGAACGACGGCTGTCGCGCAAAAGTTTAATATCACCCGAATGTTTGTGATTTTCAGGAATAAAATAGAAAAATCTACAAACGCCCTAAAGTTTTTCCTCTTGCCGTCGTACCCACGACAAAATCACCCGGTTACTTAATCGATCATATGCACATATGTCGACTGTTACTTACAAAGGATCCTGTTTTGAATAGTTATCGTTACCATTACCTCTTAATTAAAAAACTAACGGTGTTATTGACATTGACATTTAATGTGTTTGTAAAAAATATTTTTTAAACGCTGCAAAAATAAAAACCGGAAAACATTGTTTTTAAAGAATTCTTTTGTCCCTTACAAATAACAACAGTACGGAAATAGAAAAGTAATATCGAACTCCCTTGATCACTTTTAGCATTGATTAATTTTGGTATTTTGTACATTTAACGTTATTCTGTAAATTTGTTTAAAAATATTATTATTATATTAATTTTATGATTATAATTAATATTATACAAATGCGAGAAGGAACTACACTTTGATCATCAAACATTATTGCTAAATATTAGAAAAGAAAACATTTTGTAAAAATAATGGTTTCATATATTTACACGTCAAAAATCATGCTCGTCTATTTATTGAAAAGTTCAATTTCCTTTAAAAATGATTACATTTGTTGGTAAGTACTTATATTTATTTTCTCCGTTTCTTTTTTTCCGTTACCGCGATGACTTTACTGTTGTCCAGTATGACTATTAACATTGATATTTGTATAGTTGACACTATGCGTAGGTGGATTTACAAATCCAATACAAATATTGGTCACTGTGTTTGTTATACAGCCCTTTCCTGAAAGACTTCTCATTGTTGATAGAACACAAGTCATAAAAATCGATTAGACTTATAAAAGTTATGAAATAGACTGTAAAACCTTGACATGAAATAAAAATAATACAAATTTCAGCAGTATATATATATATATACATAAAGGATACACTAATACTATGGGTTAATTATTTACTATAGACTTAAAAACAAAGAATCACAAAAAAAAAACCTTTAAAACATTAAAACTTTTTTAAAATTATAAGTAATGTATAAATTAATGTCAACGAAAAAAGAACCAATGAACCTTTTACTTTAAAAATAACTTGAATATATGATATTAAACTATTATTTCTTTCAATTTGTGTCAATAAATACGACTCGCTGATGAAAAAAATAAAATTTAACTACTGTCTATAAGTTATATTATATTCAATTAATAATATTAAGCATAAATATTTTTACATAAAGTTAGAGAAAAGAAAAAGTCACATGTATGGTGATAAATTATCTAATGTTATGCAACATAATTTCATATATTTATATAATATACATAAAATTATACATGAATTTCGAATGGAAAATACATAAGAATATATAGATATAAATTATATCAAGTAATAAAAGAAAAAAGGTTTTAAGATGGCAATAAATGGTAAAAGTTAAAATTAAATTGTAAATAAAAGCAGTTTAATATACTGCAGAAGTCAATTATACTGTTATCTATAAATAGAATATTTAAAATAAGTCACATGATAAGTATGGTCAGATGGGAATTCAAACAATTCGTTTCCAAAATAATTATTTGTATAATAAAAATGTATTATTTGGCATTACTATATTTAATGGGAAAACCAGACGTTATTTTTTTAATTTTATAAATTTTTTTAAGAATAGTTACGTTAAATAAATTTAATAACTAAAAAAAATATCAAACGTCTATTACTCAGGAATCGCTACAATTTTGGGGAGGTTGCAACTCCCTTTTTTCTTCTATTGGTTGCGTCATTGCTAATAATAAGGCTTAAATATATAGTCAGTGTGATACCTGTATTTCAATTTAAAAACACCATAATTTTATTAAAACATTTATTTTTATTGTCTTAAGATACATTTTAAATTTAGCAAAAACACAATAAAAATTATTTGTATCTCTGAATATTAATCAATCCTGCTTTTTCAAAATTACCGTGCACAATTATTTAATTATAATAATAAAATTATAGTAAACGTTCTTAAATAATACAAAGACATAAAAATAAATTATAACTTCAGTAAAATGTTATTTGTTTTATATATTTTTAGTTAGTTTATTCAATTTTTTAATAAGAAAAAAAAGATTTAAAAAAATTAAGAATAATAGTTGTAAACAAAGAAAAGAAATGTTTATAAATTCTTCTTATATTTTTATTATTTTCTGTGTAGCATGGCATAGTCTTCCTTCAGAAACATTTTACATTCCATTTCATAGCATAACAAACATTACACAAATCCCAATTCTTAATTTTACCATTAACAAATCTCAAGTTTTTGAAATGGTAGATTGTATGTTGCTGTACTATAGAATGTTAGTAATTAAGGAAAATATCCAAGTTGTAAAAATAGCGAAAACCTTTAGTTGGTATGTATATCACAGTAACAATTTAATCAAATCAATTTAGATACAAAATATATATTGATGTATTGACGCAACTAGGAGAGTGATAGGACAACTTTGGCATTCCCAAATAAATAACTTATTTCTTGGTTTGGTGTACAAGTATTAAAATAATTGATATTCTATTTTTTTTTTTTTAATTTCATTATTAACAAAATTTTAGAATAATTCAGAAAAATAACTTGCATTTTGTCGGATAATCATAGACATCTAAATCTATTTATATACGTTAGTGGATAACGATAATAATTGCATTGCATTGTAATAATGATTGTAGTGTTCGTTTTCATTGAGTTTACTTATGTTAAAACCCTCACCGGTCTGTAAATCATATCTGTTTTTAGGACCCCCAGAAAAGCTGATCTAGTTGCAATTATGTACAGATAATAAATTGTTTATCATTTTATCAACCATAGCTAAGAGTATAAAATAAATTTAAGTATAGAAAACTGTTCGAATTTCGGTATTGCAAGTGTTCTATTAATTAGATATGACATTGCCCGCACACCTACAAAATCATTTGGCCAAAACTTATAATATATTGTTTCACGAAAAATAATATGATAACCAAACTATTTTTTTTACTTGCTCTGACCCAATGAGCTGGTTAATGTGTTTTTGGCTCTGTTAATTTGCCAACAAATAATTAAGGAGCTACACTTTAAAATCGACAGTAAAGAGAACAAATAAAAATTGCGAATAATTTTGTATTATTTAAAAATGAGATAATATTGTGTTAACTTTTTAGTCATTAGATTAAAACAGTCATGTTCTCAGCAATTTTTTTTTACAACAGTAATTGTTGTATTTTTCGTAGTGTTACTTGATTTCGACAAATAATGTAACTTGATGATGTCGTATTGTAAAAAGGAATACTGTTTCTTAAAAAAAAAACGGCTTTTCCATAATTGGACTTTGAGATACTTATTATTTATTTTTATGAACCAGTGAAATTCATTTTACCTCATGCAACAGTAGAAAATTATTGCTTTACTTCATATACATTCATACATATAAAACTTAAAAATTCTGATAAAATAAAATAATTTAATTAAAACACACCGTAGTTTATGCAACAATTTCATTTTTTAATTTTAATTTTCATAGCTCAGTAAGGTTAAGTTTTAGTTATCGTACTTGGGAACGCGCCATAGATAATGAAGTTAGATTCTGTAGTGCTAAGCCATGTAGATTTTCTCTTTCTCTATAACATAAACTTTTTAAAGAGGACATTAAAAAAATGAACAGAATAAAAAAATACTTAAACAAATTTAAAATTTTTTATTGGTATTTGATTGATAAAAAGTTTATAAATCGTGCCTACATTGTAATTTGAATTAAAAAAAAAATAAACGTTAAATACCAAACACTATTATTGTTTTAGGATTCATACAAAATTAAGAGAAAGCCTGAACAGAATAATTTTTAAAAATAAATTCTTATCCAAATATTTTTTATTTAGTTATTACTTTTTTAGTTAACTTGGAACATGTAATTCATTTTTTCTTTTAATTATTGTTAAATACAAATAAATAATGCATTCATATTTTCTCATAATTTATAAAACAATAAACAGGNTGGAATAAAACACCAATTTTTTTAAAATTAAACACTATCTAAAGATTTGCATCGAAGCGTTTATTTTTGATAGTGATTTTAATCACTGTCAGATATCATTATACTTGATCC